TGATTTTTGGTGCAAGATCTGAAGACAAAGTAAATGTGCTGTAAACAAATACAATACAACGACAGAGGTTACTCGATAAAGTAATAAGAACTGGACCGACTGATGGAACCATAAAATGTGGCTACACAGAACCCCTGAGGTCTAACTAGGTCTATATGGCACATTGTCATTTTTCCTCTTTTTTTTCCCCAATAATTGCAGACGATACTTCAGTGACTCCCAATGAGGTAGGAAACCTATTGTATCTGGGTTGCAAGGGACCTGGAGAGGCATCAAAGAGCCAGATATTTTCTTGGTAAATCACCAGCAGAGAGGGAACTTTTGAGAGTGCAATTAACAACCTCAAGGTCAGACTTCTCTGGAGAGTTAGCTCTGAAAAAAATCCTCAGGCACTTTCTCTCTCTCTTCCCTCTCCTGCTGTTATCCTCACAGCTACACACACCCATACACATGCTCTCTCCATCTCCTTTACCCTCTTGTCCTCCTCTCCACGCACATACATTTCCCTTCACTCGTTTACCTTGTTACTCCTCCGTCCCCTTTCCACCATCCCCCACGCCTCCCCCCTCCCTCTTGCTCCCCCCTTGTCTCCATTACGGATAAACGTTACTTTGTGGTCGGTGGCAACACCATTTCTAGTGCCAGACCAGGGGATGAAAATCGGTCGCAGGTGTGCAGAGGATGAGAGCCATGGATCTTAATCTTAAGGCAATAATGGTGCTGTGCACTGACGAGGTCACTGTGGGAATATCTTACAAAGGAAAGCTCAGGGTCATACCTGCTCTTAAAATGTGGCAAAAATGAACTTTCCATGCTCTTGATCGTGTGAGGACACTTTATAAATTGGACTGAAATTGATTTTCTTTAAAGGCCGGGTGTTGCAGTTGGTCTGATTTAGCACTTGACGAGCACAATAGATGGGTGGGTTTTGAGCACCGCGCTTTGAAGTGGTGCACACAAAATAATTAGATGTCAAGTCTGCGCTGTTGGCTCAAAATCAGACTTTTCATTAATACATAACAAAGCCTGTGACATTAAGACGGGATGAACTGGTTGAACTTTGACTATAAGGATATTTCAAAGCTTTAAACATGTAATTAGAGTTCCCAATTTCTGCTACATCCACACTAATACAGATGAGGATTTCGGGGACACATCTCCCTCAATATTTTGAACATGTGCATTTAAACCCCCGGCCCAAAAAAATAAAAACATGACAGTTGCTGAGGACTTTTATTTTGAAGGAATTGGAGACATTTACACCATTAAGTACGAAATTAAGTGTTTAATATATACATTTTCTGGTGGAGGACCCCCAAATCTCTATGTGTCACACCCCAGTGTTGAAACAAAACCTACGCTCTTGCACACTAATACATTTTCTTTTAAAAACGCATTATTTTGCTGTGTTCAAACCTAGCGTCTGCAATTCTCTGGCGTTTCTCAACCCCTAAAACAGAGACTTTTGAAAATTCTGCTGACCCCAGTTTTGTTCGGAAACTTTGTGGTTGCATTTTAGTATGGACGTGCAGAAATGGAGAGTGCACACTGATCCAGCCCCAGGTCACTTGTGTTAAGGCCCCTAAGCAACCAACTACAGATTAGACAATATGCTTCCTGTTTACACCGGCACACGCATGCCCTTAGTTTGTAAATAGTCATGAGATAAGCGTTATCAGGCATATTTGTATGGATAGAAAATATTTCTGAAACAGTGCTAAAATGGTCGTGTGCATGAATTATTAAGGTGAATGTAGCCTTATATCAGTTACTGAAACTAGACTATGGGGTATACTTGTTAGGGTTGGGTACCGAAACTCGGTACTTTTTATACTTGGTATCGATTCACGTCGGTACTACCGAGTACCGATTCACTTAAAATGAAACGGTGCCAAATTTCGGTACCTGAGGTGGAGGCGGAGCGAGAGCGCATGACTCGCACCTCAGACTCAGCAACAATGGCGACAAAAACAATGTGCAGACAAAAGTTAACGTGCAGCAGTGTTCCTAAATGTTCTCAATAAAATGTTGAAACTGAGAAGTTTAGACTATGGGCCCGAACGACGCATAGTGCGTCCAAATTCACACCCGTTCTTCTCTGTGGATTTTCTCTGCGACCATGTGTCAAAGCCAGAAGCCACGCATATCAGCGGAAACAGCAGAATTGTAGCTTTCCAACAAGGCCAAGCACACACAGTGTTTTCACAGCGAAAAATTACAATAAAATGATGTTTAACAGAGCTTTCATACAGCTTTGCACACACATTACTCTTGGATGGATTACTCGCGAACGCAGGCTCGCACAGAAATGCCACGCATATCACATGAAAGCGCAGGACCACACACATCATTGTACTGTCATCCCATCACGCTCTAAATACAGATCAATTGTCTACAAAATAAAAACTTGACGAATTTCTTTACAACCCATTATACAGATCTTGTTACCAGTCACTTCATATAGTGAGGAATATCGTATCTTACCACGTCTCAGGCTTGCGTGTGTTTCTCCCTGTCGATCCACATTTGTAGTCCAGCTTTCAAGATGCAAATATCTCCATATTGTCCAGTTGACACTCCATCAAACTTTGTATGACAAGACCAGCCACTTCACCTTTGCGCACCCAGACAACTGCAGCCTAATGCATGCTGACAGGGCCGTAGTCACCATATACACTGAGGGGGACACGGACACTTGCTATGCTGAGATACATGTAAAAATGTAAGAATTTAGGCACACAGATTTGTTTTTTTCATTGATATAAAAATTTATATAAAATACAGGCACATAGAAGAACATGAAATGATGGCAAATCTGGTTAGCCCAGATTGTCCTGAGAAAAAAACAAGATATAGCATGTGTATGTTGCCTTCAGAATGACTGTGATATGAGCTTAAAAGTGAAGGCAGTAATACCCCAAAAACGCCTAGGGCCCATAGGGTTAAAAAGTACCGAAATAAGGTACCGGTACCGAATTCCAGATACCGGTACCGGTACCGTATCGGTTCAATTATGAACGGTACCCAACTCTAATACTTGTACATTCTTACAAAAAACACAGATTATAACAGTTCCAGAAGTTATGCTTTGAGTACACACAAAACATACACACACCACCCAAGATGTCTCTGATTGTTCCAAAGGCTTCCTTTTTACACAGAGCCTTCACATACCTTCTTTTCTTCTTTCTTACAGGGCAGGAGAGGACTAAATAAATTCCTCAGGTAGAGGTAGAGAGAGAGAGAAAGTTCTGCTCAGCTTGTGTTGGCAGAGAACACTAATAAAAACTGTAAATATACAGCTTTGGATATCACGCTGCTCAATGATACAAGATAACCATCCAAAGGCAAATCGAACCTATCTCTCGGGTTGTTTTAATCAAGGGTTTGACTGTTAACTCTCACACTAACGACGCTGGACAGGCAAAATAAAAACACAACATACTCTGGCACATTACTGCTGGAATTTTGGCAAGAGGGACAACTTGGGCGTGTAATTGAAATGCTGAGTGTGTGCCCGTGCTAATAAGTGGAAATATGTGAAGCTTTTTTAAAGGTTGTGTTTATCAGGATTATTGTATGTTGATGGAAAATCTGATTTATAAGACATACACCCGTGGCTTATTGTTGTCAGGTCGTCTCATTAGGAAGACAAACAGAAAATTGCTTCATAAAGCGATCGTCCCTGTGCTGAGGCAACAAGCTGAACTTGTGCAAGGGCAGTGAGATGATCAATAAGCCATTCCACAATAACCATATAAATATCAATATTATGGCAATCCCTATGCAAGGAGGTAATTAGAGTGGGACTGGTGTAAAACTTCTGTCTAATCCATGTGATAGATTCCATTTAAAAAGGGATTCTTTCTCTTAATGGGCAACAAGAGAGAACCAAATCAATGATTCATCAGCAAATAACTATTAAATTTAAAGCAGGGCTCAGGATGCGGCGATAAAGCTGCTCCAGACGGGCCACTTTTACTATACTTTTCCACAAGTTGCCATCGATTGGACTCCTCCAGCAGCAGCATGAGGATGAGTAATGTGGAGTGATGTTCGATAACAGCACGGTGCTTTACAAAGTATTAGTGTTTCACATTTAATAGTGAAAGAGTGTTGTTTCTTTATGGGATGGCTCTTTGCTGCCATGGATGGTTGTCTATTAATGTTTAATTGCCCTGTGTGGACCAGCTGCAGTGGTGGATTATGCTGACCATTTTAAAATAATATTTGGGGGTGTATTGAGTAAAAAGAGTGGCTGAATGTGTGAGGAAACAGCTCATGCATTATATCATAATAACTGTTTTCATTTGTATTGGGCTGTGTGTTCCATGAAAGCAATAACGGTTCTCCTGCACAAATTTCAAGCATATTTCTTTTTATGTCTGTTTTGGCTGTACAATACAATTTGCCATGTTAGCTGACTTTCATGGCCTTGAGACCATGTTTCACCACTTTTACAATTTGGGAAACCACCGGAGGCATGCTATTTAAATAACCATAACCATAATTGCTTCGGCAAGTTAAGGCAACAGCATGGGATTCTTCCAAAAACTACATTTTGCACACAATCCTTCAATATTTAGGACAGGGATGAAATCTTAGACTTGCTAAATTTTGGTACAGGATTAACAATAAAGTCATTCCAACATACAGACACCACTGATGCGCAGTTTAACATGTATGATGGCATATGATAAAATATATATATGTAATGGCATAAAAGTGGATTCCTGTCAAATTACATTGCATTCAGTGGTCTGATAAAATGGCTTCAAGGATCACATGAAAAAATAGGATGTCAGCCCACATAAACTCTGTTCTATTTATGCGATGACATATCTATGTCATAAACCCTCAATGAACTTTGCATGTGGGAACCCAAGCCAAATACCCTCTGAGACAAGAATCACACTCTCACTGTCAAAGAACTGGCATGCTTGTATACATGCATGCACACATAAACCCACACACACACACACACACACACACTGTCCTACCTGGCGTGAGGGACATCGATGCTGGAGGAGACCACCTTGCGTTTCTGCTCTAGCAGGGACACTGATCTGGTGTCAGGGTCCCAGCCAAGGCGCTTGCCGTCCGCCACCCGCTGCTCCTCCACTGCCTCTGGGCTGAGGGAGCCGCCTTCCACCTTATGGCTCTCTGGAGCTCCGTTACTGGAGCTCTGCTGGAGAGGGATGCAAAGAGGATTAAGTCAGTGCTTGGGTGGAAAACCATGTACACAAATTACGAACAATGCAGATAAAGGAATGCACCATGAGAAACACTGATGCGAAGTTGTGCAAGGTACAGGAACAAGCCTTCTTTTGTGAAGGGCCAGGGTGAAAAAAAAGTAAAGACTAATACTAAAAAAATACTGCCCATCTAAATCATCAAAACATCTTAGACATATTACAAACAATTACAAATGCATAGTTTTTCAACACTGCAGCAGATATTACGTTGGGGTCTAAGCTCTGGCTGTCAAAAGCTTGCAACCCAAATTCTGAAGATTTTCGTGTTTACTTTTCAAATGAAGGAGTACGTGGTCCAACATTGGTGAAGAAATGTTTCCAGCCTCTTGGGCTTAAAAAAGCCTTTCCAAAACAGATTGGATAAACTCAAAAATGCAAAGTGGTCAGTTATAAAACAAGGCTGTTTTTCTTAGTTCCTGCAGACGTTTTTAAGATATGAGGGTTTCAAACCGAAAACCGCGAGGTACTGTTGACAATTCTACTAAAACTCCCTTCTCATGAGCAAAAATGAATGAAACTATACAAAAGACTATGCATCTGTGTTATAAGACCTTTCCTGATGGTGGCTCTTGAGCCATTTGTTCAAATTTTTAAGTTTGAAACTTAAGAAACTGATTAAATAAAATCATATTACCAATCATGTGTCACATGTGTTTCTAAGGACGAGAGACGTTATGGGAGGAATCAGTCATTTGTGCATTACTTAAAGGTACCCTGTGGAGTTTTTGATCACCAGTACCACTATGCAGCAATGTTTTGCTTGTACCATGCACAGGCACATGAGTGCTGCAATACACAGCATGCTGGTGGTTTGTTTCACAACATTCCACTGATCCACAGTTTGTGGTGATGTGATGGCAACACACAAAGAGCGTCGCAATGCGCCTGGGTCCGAACCAGGAACCCTCTTGCTGTGAGGCGACAGTGCTAAGCACTATACCACCGTGTTGCCTTGCTTTGTGTGATGTTGACATCAAAAATGGCTGCACGGTCAGTGTCCCTGTCCATCTTTTCTCTCCATTCCCTTATAAATGTATAATCTATACGCTTGTTCTGTATATTAATTATCAAAAAAAAGGGGGGGGGGGGGGGGGTGAGTGACATTAAATGCTATTAAATATGTCTTTTTAGCATTAAAAATTAAATGCGGGTTAATAAAAGATCATGACAGAATTTTTACGACCTTGTCAGTCAAAATGATGGACAAAGAAAACGTCTACCACAGCTTCTGATTTAAATATATATTACAACATGTTAAAAATTCAACTTTGCAAAAGAAAAAAAACGATTCAACACATTTGAACTCCAGGATACACACAAAGAATTTGGGTGAGAAACATTAAATCTTAAAAGACAATTTGTTTAACAGAAAAATCCACAGGCTACCTTTAAATTGAAAATCATAATTTTTAATAAACTGTTCATCATTCCTCAGTTTTAGAGGATCATAAACATCTCAAAATCTCATCTCTCCGCCATTTGAGCTCGAACTGACGAATATACAAAGTCACAAGAAGCACTAGAGCAGGTGAGGTGGTGTGTGTGTGTCACAGCTGATTCCACTGCAACTATGCACCAATTGTGTTATAGGGGTTTTTACATCATGTTTGACAGCGTGAACACCAATGAGACAGAGATATAAAAGCTCTTATTTTGGTGATTTTAAGTTAAAAAAAAAAAAAAGCCAAAAAAAACTCCATCAAAGCTTCAGTCTACAGCTGACAGCCATTGTATGGATCTTTGGTGTTTGAGGTAAATGCAAGCACCAACCTCTGGGGCTAAAAAGTGAAGCCAACATGGAAGTGCCAAAAATTGCAGTTCTTTGAATGGCTACTTGAGGCTGGCTCCAGATGCCAGTCAATCCCCATAGACCCCCATGTTAAAATGCCAAACTTTACATAAGAAATAAAGATGTTAACAGTCTGGTACAATAAACAGCTTGATCTCTACAGCTAATTTCCCCCTTCATGACAACTGTACGGAGGAGGAACTTTTTTATAACTAACTCATTTACATTTATTAAGGCTTAAGTTACACATAATTAAGGGCGGGGCATTTTGAGTGACAGGCTGTCTCCCGATATTGTCCTTAACTTTTCAGTCAGATCTACCCTTCACTCCTCCACAGTGTTTCTCACCCAAATACGGTCACTACTGGCTCCAAAATCCAAGATGGTGATGGCCATAATGCCAGAACTGAGGCTTCAAAACAGGAGTCCAAAAACCAATGGGTAACGTCCATTATTTTTGCAGCCTATGGCTTAATGTAAGCTACAAGACTTGGTAACTCACAGCCAATCTGGTGTGTAAACTGCAGACTGGTTTAATCTAACTGAAATTTATTTTTTTACAACAATAAAATAGAATGAAGTTCAAAGAAAAGTTGTCAAAGTGGGGAACCAGAACTTAATAACCGACACACATAAACATACTCCACACAGCAAGATTGCATTACACAAAACACATCCAAGTGCCACACACCAACATGAACTTATATCTGACATACTATGACAAAATAAAAGCATTTCTCCCATCAGAAAACGCCCACCTGTACAACATCATCTCTTCTCTTACACAACAGCAACGAATGGCATGCTTCTGCACATGAATACCTGCATGCACCTACGCACACACCAACACACACATCTCTGCAGGTAACTAAAGGCATTAGGCTCTTAGAAACACGCTGAGAAAAGGCCAAAACACAGCCAGAGTGACACACACGGCTGCCCATGCCAATGGAGCATTGAGGAGTATGACATGCAGGCAAGTATGTGTGTGTGTGTGGGGTGTGTGTGTGTGTGTGTGTGTGTGTGTGTGTGTGTGTGTGTGTGTGTGTGTGTGATCTAGATCATTATCTCAAAGCACTGTAACATGATTAGGGTTGACTGTGGAAAGGCAATGGCACCCTAGTCAATCACTCACACATACATGCACACACACAAACACCAAGAGAACAATTTACTTAGATTAATGAGGTAAGCAAAAAACAAACAAACAAAAAAAAACAGGAGAACTGAGTATTGAGTATCGCTCATGATTGAGGCTGGTCGCAAGAACACTCAGTGGTGCACAAAATGCCCTGTGAAAACACAGACTTGAGTAAAACAACAAGATGGATTACACCGGCTCGGGGAAGATTAGGTGTTGTGTGTATGACGAGTGTACTCCTCGGATAAAACCAACAGCAATTCCTTCCTTTCGCCAGGCTTATGAATGATGGCATTTCACAGAGCCAGGAAAATGTGAAGCGTGCCAAATCATTTGTGAAATGTGAGTTGCATGTGTCAAAGCTGATGTATACGTGTGTGTGCATGTGCGCACACAACAGATATTCTGAGTGTCCCTCATATCGCACCACTCATTATCTTCCCTTCTCTCTCCCACACAGAAACTCACAGAGAAACTCATAACCTACTTGCTTTGGGCAGTTTGTCAAGTGTAAAGAGTCTTGAACCTTTATGGGTCAAAGGTCATAATAAAGCAAGCTGACACAGACCATAAATTGAATCCTGTGGACCAACTGTGTCTTTCAGCTCATATGGTTCTTTGTTGCTAGGAAGTATTTGTGTTAGCACATCTAGTGCATGTTACCAGGGTTAGGAATGTTAATGATTAATCGATGATGTCACACTGCTCTGACATTTAGTTTTTTTAAAGCATAGTTCAGACCAAAGATTCAGCGAGACAAAACCGGTTTAGAGGGTTGCAGGTAAAAGTCACAACAATGTGAGTTAGCCCGTCTCACCTTGACTCAAGCTGATAGGCTGATAGTGTTGCATGCAACTCAGCTTGTCAAATCGCCAGTGGCTAGTTTAAGAATGTAAGGCACGTCACCTGTTGTAACGGCCAGTCGTCTTGTAGCGAAGCCGGTCAAGTCAGTTGCAAACAATCAGCTGGTCAAAATGGCAGAGTTTTGGACGGAGTAAAGAGAGAAACACCTCATCAACTTGTCTGAGGAACAGCTGTGTCTGTATGTTTTCTGCTCAGTATCTAGGGGCTGTAGCTCACCTGTCACCAAGAAGCGCAGCGTTATCATCAACCATTCCCCTGGTGAAATGCTGTCTCGATAGTGTTTTCTCTGCCGATTAGAGGTGACACCTACTCGCCTAAACAATTTAACTGCTCCGGGCATAGACGGCAGAAACTGACAAAAGAGGGGAGATCTCATGTCTCAAGTTCACGGCATAAATTTGCATAACCCTTTGGGTATTCTGTTGAAGCGCTCATGGACTGCTCCAAATCCACAACCCTCTCGATTTTTTTGTTTTTGCCATTTCATCACTACTAGAAATGCAAGTGTAGTTGGTATCTCATTATCACTATCTTCATTCATATCTTAAGATGCTACAAATTCTATCTCGCTACAAAAAAAAAAGCCTTTAAATTGGTTAAAACTGATGTAAACTGACAGATTTCAGAACGTTGCAGACTAGCACACTGCAGAGTTGCAAGTTTTCAACTAGTCTCGTTGTGAATCTTGGGTTTGATCTGGGCTTAACCTAACACATGACTTAGTCTGGAGCTGTACAATTGTTATATATTAAAATCGCAATTCGAAGGAGTGCAATTTTCAAATCGCAGCAACTGCTGCAGGCAAATCTTCCTCAGCTGTAACTACTGGCTGAATAACATTGACGCTAATGCTGGACGGGATGGAGAAAATTGAATATCACAATATTTTTACATAAATCTTTACATAAATAATCATCGTTAATGTGGATATAATGACTAAGTGGATAAAGACAAATAATGGAACAGCTAGAACGTCTGGAAAATTGCATAACATTACTGTAATGCAGCCTTTAAAACCAGAAAAAGACAACACAAATCTAAGACAATATCCAATGAGCATTGAGCAAAAGCAATTACTAGCGTAATATCTGACTAAATAGTAGCTGAATTTGTATAGATATTTATTTTAAAAAATAATTAATGCACATACAAGTTCACTTTTTGAATGAAAGAACCCTTGCAGGGTCCTCAATAAGCAATAGCATTGTTCCATCTGATTGTGTTAATGATAAACCAGATAAATTTGTGAGGATGCTTGATTTAAAGAACTTGTTCAAGACTATATAGAGGCCAGGTGGTAACTTGATAGAAATTATTTGTGGTTTTAATTGCAACCGCAGTACTGGTAAAAATAAAAATCACAACTAGATATTTTCATTGAGCACCAGTTCTTTTGGTGTAGTAGAGGTTGTTCTGCAGAACTTAAATGTTTGACTACATTTGATAGCATGTTTGCCAATGAGAGACATAATTACTTCTGAAGGACGCACATAACAAGATTGCAAAAAGGTGGATTAAAAATGTGTCTGTGTGGCCACAGCGCTCACAGCACTACATAAACACACACACCTCCTTTACCCTATAAGATTACTCATACATCATCACAGACAGCTTCCAGACTTGACCCTGTGGTCGCTGTGCTCCATGCTGATGCTGCTCAGCCAACCAATAAGGACAGACGACGCCGGCCTGCCTGCCTGGGATCACCGCTTTAGAACAAAGACTCACTCAGCTCCTGTCAACAAGCTTGCTTCATTGACTCCCACATCGGCATACGATCAGCGCAAACAACAACAACTGCACGGGCAACAAAAGCACCCGGCAAAACAAAAACAAGTAACGCCTCTTTGTTAGCAGCAAGAGATCTATGTAACATTGCTCACACACAACACACACACTTGCACAAACCAACAAGTCAACAAGTGGCATCCTGCACCCCCCTCCAGAACAGGGGGCATTCGTTTGCCATACCGGGCAATGTGCCAAGCATCCAGATTCTTTGGAGCACGCCACCCGTTGCCAACCTGGGGGTGCCTGCTTTGTTGGCTGTACAGCTGCTGCTCAAACAGGGCGGCTTGCCCTCACAAACAACCCCCACTCCAAAATTCAAAGTAGTCAGCTCTAACTCAATAAACATACAAATACACATATGGGAAAGAGCACATCCACGTACACAAAAAGCAACACAGATCCACATGTGAATCCACACACACAGGGCACACACCCCCTCCTCCTAATTTCATGGCTTGTTTTCGACCTCAGTGGGAATTTAGAGCTGAAAGAGACTTGACCATTGTGCTGACAGGGCGACGCTCTCAGCCTCAGCTGCACTACTCCAGCCTGCAGTGGTGACTGTAAGGTATTGTGCAACAGCTTTGTGAGTGCTGCACTGCATACACACATGTGCACATGCAAAACAACAGAGCCCAATTTTACAATGCATTTCTTATCACTCAAAGGTCTGACAATTCCCCATAAAGAGCTGTTGCATTCCTCTATGTTAAGGTCTGACATGTCTGAGTAAAAGTTTAAAGATTAATCTGCAACTTCATTTGAGATTTAGAAGCTTCTCGGAGTGTTGCTGCTGCATCTGTACATGTACACCCTCCATATGTCTCACATTTACATAAAGGAAATGTGAGCAGTCCAGCATGTGTGGTAACAAATAGCGGCAGAACATTTCCGTTTTGAATAAGGAAATAAGACCCAGGACTGCAGCCTGCCTTTTACTTTATCAATACCATATCAAAACACAACAAACACACATGACTGCAAGGAGGCACACAACCACACCAAGCAAAATAAATCAAAATCAGGCCGTAAACAAGCCGTTATTCGGTCACATGCATTCCTCAGTCACTCCCTCACTATAAAAAGGACACCACACACACACACACACTTCCCCAATGCCACAAACTGTGTTTTCATCCAAAAGCTGGATTGGCTTCTCTTCCTCATACAATCTTTATCTGAGGCCATGTGACACCAAAGCATACAAGTTGAAAATGAAGGCAATTAGGTCACTGCTAATTAGGCCCACATCAGAACTGCAAATTTGGACATGATCGAAACTTCCTATTCTGCCTCTAATGTCACAGGAAGCCCACACTGTCTATTTTTAACCGTTGTTAACAATAATAGCCTTGTTGTGGTAAGTAAAGCCATATAATGTTCAACTGGGTGATAAGCTGCATCATCTGTCAATGAAAATGTGCAAAATATAATGCATTGTTTAAGTGCATAATGTGCAATCTAATGCACGATTGACTTTTTTTTGTGCATAAATGTGATGTAAATCATAAGCCTATATACGTGCAGAAACAAGCTCCTCACATCAGTCCAAAACGCTGCAGTCAGAGCGTGTTTGTTTGCCTCGGCTTACCCACCCACTAGCCCACATAAACATTGCGCAGGCCCTATCAAGCCCTTTGTCCCATATATCTGATGTCGCCAAATGTCATGACAGCCCGTTATTTGATGCAATATGCAAACGAATTTGCAGCATATCTCGTCTGAATGGTGCTGGTTTTGTCCCCGCAGGTTAAATTTGACATGAGCAGCAGCAGCGGCGGCGACACCGTTAAATCCGCTCCGTGCAGGAAGCGGTTAAACGCTGCAAAACACCGCACAACAAAAACAGTGAAGCGCTGCCTGCCGGCCGGGGCGCTTTTACACACATATACACACACATACACACACCTTCAAGCTGGACTTGAGCGGTCCTTTGGCTGCAGTGTGGCTGGACCCCGTGGCTATCTCCTCCTCGGAAAACTCCTTGAGGCTCCCGTCTTGCATGAGCACAGTGTAGACGCTGCGCCGGGCTCCTACGGCCGAGACGTCTCTGTTTTCCTGCTTGACAGCCTGGACCACTCCTGTCACCGGGGCACCGTCCCCCGTCGGACTCGGCGCATAAACGCGGCTGCCGAGGATCGACCGCTTCACCAAACGCCTCGTATGCATGTCTAAAAGTGTCTCGCTGAATTCAGGGGCGGCCAACCGGTGAATTAAACCATTAAACGTCGAATTATAACCGGTAAACAACGTCGAGAAAAACACAAAACCGCAGCGGGTAGACTACGCGCTCCAACAGCCCTGATAAAATGTTAGAAAGCGGCAACATACTCGGAAGGCGAATCCTCCAAACAGGGTCCTGAACGCACCGCACTCACAAGTACCGAACACCGCAGGACAACTTTGAATAAGCACCGGACAAAAGCCGACAGCGAGACAACGCTTCATTCGCCGCTGAACAACCTCTACATCCAACCGGCTACCAATCTTTCTCCGTTCGACCTGTTTGTTTTCCCCACTGCTCCCTGCGAGCTGAGGGGGCGGCGGGAAAACACGGACGAACCGTTACTTTCAGGAGCCGAGATGACATTTGTACACGATTTCACAAAATGGCGACTTAACCGTGATTTAACAACTTAGACATCGAGGAACGGAAGCAGATGCGTCGAGTTATTTAATGTCGCTCGACCCCGTACATCGCCACATGTCCGCAGGTGCTGGAAACGGTTGAAAACACGACCGTTACGTGACTCCAGCTCCAGCGACCGTTAGCTCCAGTCCGCGCGCGGCTCCGACCGAGCTGGGCCTTTACCGGAGGAATGCTGCCTGTAAACATGTGCGGTCCGGCGGCCAGGGCGGGCTGCAATTGGTCGGCGCAGCACACGCCTCCACAAGCCCCCACCGCTCCCCCTTCTCCTCCGACAGAAGGTAATGGAAGCCGGGAGGATGCTCCATTCAAAACAATGACGCAAGGATGGAGAGGAAACGAGATGGGAGGGGGTATGGCAGGAGGAAAGAAGAGGGAAGAGGGGGAATTTAGGCTAGGGAGAGGAAAACTTTGACCACACAGACATGCTTCATGCTTTAACCTAGTTGTTGAAAGCATGTAGCCTACTTTCCAGGTGCCATGGGACTTCAAAATTACTACAATCTGGCTCCAAAATGAAAGTCATGGACTCCACTGGTCTGTTTTTATGAATGCATTTATAAACACAACAGATGATTTAATATCTTATATGGTTGTCATTTTTTAACATGCCAGTTTTATTCTACTAGATGCACTGGACAGAACATGCTCCAACAAACATGGGCACATTAAAACACTACAGGCCCCTGGGCACAGACATGCAAAAGGCCCCACCACCTCTTTACATAGGAGCAAGACACACAGACTTTGTGGTGGTTTTGCATCTTTCCTTAGCCGTCATGCATCCTTTTTTTGATTTATCTTCTCTCTGTGGTCTTTTTGTGTTTCTTTGAGGCAAATTTGTCCTTTTTTTGTCATTTTGTGTCCCTTTGATGTCATTTTCTTGTCTCTACAGTAATTTTTTAGGTCTTTGAGGTAATTTAGTGTCTTTTATTGGTTATTTTGTGTCTCCTTGTGCTTGTTTTGTGTCATACTGAGGTAACTGTATGCCTCTTTTGGTTATTTTGTGTCTCCTTGTGCTTGTTTTGTGTCATATTAAGGTAACTGTATGCCTTTTTTATTGTTTTGTGTCTCCTGTGCTTGTTTTGTTTCATACTAAGGTAATTTCTTTGTCCTTTTTTGGTCATTTTGAGTCTCTTTGTAGTCGTTTTGCATATGTTTGGGATATTTTTGTCTCTTTGTGGTTATTTTGAGTTTCTTCCTGGTCAATATGTGGTAGTTTTGAGTGACATTTTGCAGGTGAAGGGCAGAGGGGCCCCGATACGTTTGGTCCTACGGCCTGTGCCCGGTAAGCCCATTCAGTAATCCATCTATGCCAACAGCCTTGCACATCAGGTTTCTGCCAGGGCAAGAGCCAACCAAATCTTAGGCAGTCCCATCAGATAAATAAGGTGAGGTCAGCCTTTGATATGTGTATCTGATGCCACAGGGTAATGATAACAATAAGCCAGCAGTCTTTGTTCCTTTTACTGTGCTCTTCATTTTCAACACTGAATATAACAGCAATCACAGGCGGCTTACTCTCTCATATAAGCTACACCCTGTACTAAATGAGAAAGTGTGATCTCACAATGTGACTCAAGTTGTTGCTCACTGAGAAGGAAAGATATATCTGATAAATGTGTCCCGTGTTTTAAAAAAGAATATTTCTATGGCACATTAGTGTTGGATACAGACGGCACTGGTAAATACAAGATATTATTGTAATATTTTTCTATTTTTCTTTCAATAACAACAACAATGATAATGAAGAACACAGAGTTATACTTTTTGGCAGATTTTATATACAACTAGAAAAGCACTCGGAGAGCGCAAACCTCCGCCAAGCAGCTCGGATTTCCCGCCATTTTATTATTTTATCCACTTCGCTTCAACTGATCACCACCAAAATTTTATCATCTGTTCCTTGTCCCATTATCAACCTTTCATCAAAATCCGTTCAGAACTTTTTGAGTTATTTTGCAGACAAACAAACAGACAAACAGACCAACGCTGGCGAAAACATAACCTCCTTGGCGGAGGTAACAATGGGTGGGGTAAGTAAAAAGCAAGACATGCTGGAAAAACAAAAGAACAGTGTGTAAAACAAATAAACATACAGCTAAGGATTAATATTGTTGATCCTTCATCCCACACTGTCATCCTCATGGTTGGATTAATGATACGGCCCAGGGGCCCCAAAGCTTCAAGGGTCCCACTGGCCTTCACCTGCTTAGTGTCAGTCAAATTATCATGTATCGACTAGGAAGAGACTCAAAATGACTGCAACAGAACTGCAAAGAGACACAAAATAACTACAAAAATGAGCAAAACAAACCCAAAGAGGCACAACATGATGACTACAAGAAGACACAAAATAACCACAAAGAGACACAAAATAACCACAGAGAGACACAAAATGACTGCAAGACGACAATAAAATAACCACAAGAAGACACAAAATGACCACAAAGAGACACAAATGACTACAAGAAGACACAAAATAACCACAAAGAGACACAAAATAACCACAGAGAGACACAAAATGACTGCAAGACGACAATAAAATAACCACAAGAAGACACAAAATGACCACAAAGAGACACAAATGACTACAAGAAGACACAAAATAACCACAAAGAGACACAAAATAACCACAGAGAGACACAAAATGACTGCAAGACGACAATAAAATAACCACAAGAAGACACAAAATGACCACAAAGAGACACAAATGACTACAAGAAGACACAAAATAACCACAAAGAGACACAAAATAACCACAGAGAGACACAAAATGACTGCAAGACGACACAAAATAACCACAAGAAGACACAAAATGACTACAAAGAGACACAAATGACTACAAGAAGACACAAAATAACCACAAGAAGACACACAATGACCACAAAGAGACACAAATGACTACAAGAAGACACAAAATAACCACAAGAAGACACAAAAGGACTACAAAGAGACACAAAATGACTGCAAGATGACACAAAATAACCACAAGAAGACACAGAATGACTACAAAGAGACACAAATGACTACAAGAAGACACAAAATAACCACAAGAAGACACCAAAGGACTACAAAGAGACATAAAATGACTGCAAGACGACACAAAATAACCACAAGACACAAAATGACCACAAAGAGACACAAATGACTACAAGAAGACACAAAATAACCACAAAGAGACACAAAAGGACTACAAAGAGACAAACAATGACCAGAGACAGAAACAAAACTACCAAAAAGATACAGGATGACTCCAAAGAGACACAACATTTCCACAAAGAGACACGGAAACACAAAAAAAATTATAAAAAGTACAAAGAAGATTCGATTAAAACAAGGCAAACCCCAATAAAATCTCTGTCTTGCTCCTCAGCAGGAGACGTGATGGGGCATTTTGCCTTTCTGCATTCAGGGGCCCATTGTCTCAAAATCTTGGTCACCATACCTTATCAAACACCTTCCTGCAAGAGCTCTCCCAGCACATTTTAAATAAGGGCAGAGTCAGACTTTCAAATGTGTCCGTCTTGATTAGAAAGTTCATGGCAATGTGATAAATCAAGTTTAGCAGGAGGCTAATTCATTCATCGTGATTATCGCCCCATGTGGCAGACAGAATATACCAATGCTATCACGGTAAAAAATAGCCTCATTAACGTCAAACCTAATGTTTTCTTTTTTTTTACAAAATCATATGCAGATTACATTCATTCTCCATGATAGTGCCCCAAGTGAATAAAAAGACACAATGACACAATTCATTATATATATATTTTTTAATAGAACAATTCATGTCATAAAATATTTACATGCAGAGAATGGAAACCGGACAGAGTGGAGTGACAGATGTGGCCATAACTTCTAAAACAGGCTTTGCCCTGTGATCAAAGGCAGGTGTCACCACAGAGTTGTCTGCTGGTTGTAGGGGGAACAAATGGTCTCATTATGGGAGTAGTGGAGCTGAAGGAGAGGCAGTAAGGGAGCATCTCCGAGCATCCACCACGTCCTAATTCCCTGAAGGGGAATGTGTGTGTGTGTGTGTGTGTGTGTGTGTGTGTGTGTGCGTGTGTGTTTATGACCAAGATAGACAGCTAGAGAGAATAAGTGATTTTAGGTAAGTGTCTATTAACTCAGAGTGTGTGTGTGTGTGTGTGTGTGTGTGTGTGTGTGTGTGTGTGTGTGTGTGTGTGTGTTGTCCTGCTTAGATTTGGCACTAAAACACCCCCTTTGACAGATAATTTCCTTAGAGGTCATTTCTAGCTTTCTGTGAACACTATTATATCTAAATGATGTTACAGGCCTGATACACAGAAACATCATTCGGTAGAAACAATCATTTTTTGGGAGTGTAAATGACAATGATAATTACCTCTTTGCAGAAATGAACATTTTTCTTGTTTATTTTTTTCCCTAAACAGGCTTCATTCACCCGTTTTCGTTGATAAAACACGGGATGGATTGCATTTAAAATGCTCTTTCACCATAACATTTCTATGAAAATGTTAAAGCATTTCAAATGTCTATATTTATTAATCTAATACCAGTCAGCCAAGGCTGGCTATCTTTGTCTGAGCCACCAACAAGCTCCTGCATGCCTAATGAAACATGAACTAAGGCTGGAGATGTTGTAATGCTGTGATATTTCGATGTGGGTGGAAACAGATGACACCAATTTTTCTGCAAGGACGGGAGATACTGGAGCAGTACAAGAGATATTTACAGCCAAAAATAAAGAAATAAAAAAAGCATTGGCCCTGTTTGATTGGAAAACAAACATCAAACAACAGTATCGACACATTAATTTTAAATGAAAGTACCACACTCACCGTGCTCTTAATATGCATGTACCAAAACACTGTACCATGTTTCTGACATTTGATTTGTTACTATATCTCAGAACTCAAAAGCTATTTGGCAACTTTGAGTTTCAATTTTTTTTTTTTTTTTAAAAAGCCATCAGACAACAAGTTTTCCTTAAAACAATGCAGACATACATCAGTGCTCTTAACAGACTTATTTTAAAATAATACCACTCTGGACATACAAATAAGTAAAAGCTTACATAAAACTTCCAGCGAGTAACAGTTGGTTAAAATAGTGCTCTGTGTATATACAAGCCTTGGTTGGCATGTCGTCATTACAAGCTACAAACAAACAGAATGGTTTCCTCAGAGGTTAAAAAGCATTAGATATTCAAATTGTGCAGAGATGCAGCTGTATTGTGATGATGCAGTATATAAACGCAGTACCATGATATCAAACCTTGTGCTTTAAAATCATCTGGGATGCCAACTGAAGACTGTATAATGTACCAAGAGTAGGCTCAAGAACACGACAACCAAAATATACAGTTGATCAACAGATCTGTATTAATAACGCAGGCTTCTTGTGTCATTTGATCACATTTGAATTTGTTTTTGCCCCCTGTGCAAAATGACAGAAAAAAGCATCATGTATTTTTTTTTAAAACAATGAATTCTCTTTTTAAAAAGTCAGGGGAAAGCGTACCTTTACAACTGTCACTACATCACAACTCACTTTCATTTAGTATCTTAATAGAAACGCTAGAAAACCCTATTTACGTAGCTCTCACAGACATACTCTTTAACATTTCACAATTACACAACAATATGCATGTTCAAATAAATATGAATTTCACAAAAAAAAAGGTTGACATGGACTGTAAAATGTCTAAAAATACTTTCAAAATGTATCATGAAATACAAACTTCCTTCCCTCGTTTCCTCATTTCCACATCATCTATAGAACTGTTTCAACTATCCATTTGGTCACAGATGAGGCTGGCTTTTGCTTTCTATGCCTAGAATCTTAAGCCAAGAATGCACAGTGGAGGTGCTGCCAAACCTGACAAAAAATAGCTCGAAATAACCCATCTCACGCCTCAATAAAACATGACACTGAGTCACCTAGAGGAAGCTAGAAAGTCACCAGCAGCTGCAGAAGGGGCATACAAATAATGATTCCTTCATATGTACAGTAAGTGCATGAACTTCATGATTATATGGCACTAAATTCTTGATATCTTTTTCTTTTTTTTTCTTTTTTTAAATCACAGGCACTGATAGCGTCTTCAGCTAACCCTTGAAATGTTGCACATGTGTTGTGATTGGATATTTGATATTTGACCTTCTTCCACAGTCAAGTGCTGTTGAATGTGTCCATGATATGCGGTGTCAAAAAGACAAAAGAGGAATTTAATGATGATCCAAAATGCACCCATCCACATGATTAAACTTCTGTATTTTTCAACCTGGAACCATTTTTCACATGTTGCTGTGTCTAAGTGACTAATGGGAACAACCATTTTTGAAATTGGTGCAGGATTGAGTGAGAGTGCTGCAGCCGGCAATTATAGGCTGCAAAGTGACCACTCGAGGTAACAGCGCACTGTCAATTTACCTCCACTTAAAGTGCTTGTTTTTGCCATTGACTGGCTCAGATTGTTTTTGTAAGAGTCTGACAACATTATGGATCCCTACAAAGATAGACAAAGGCAAGATCTTCTTTGCTTAACCAGAAACCGCCCTGAAATCACTCGTGCTAAAGCCACCAGATTCTATTTATATAAACTGTCATTTTAGTATGGTAAAACAAACCTCAAAAGCCCAGTTTCCACCGAGCAGTACGGTACGGTTCAGTTCGGTACGCTTTTCCACTGGATGTTACCAATGGAACCGTTCCATGCTGTACTGTGAGTGACAACAACCCCACCCACATTTAAGGGTACGGTTTGCGGTGGAAACGCTAGGGTCTAGGTACCATGTCTGAAGGATACTTTCGGTTCCAAAGGTACCATACCGAAAATGTTTGGTGGAAACAGGGCTAAAGTAAACAGAAACAAAATAAAATTCACAAAAATCATCTTGTTTTGTCCTTCCACTGTTCCAATGTCCACCAACTCTTGTTTGGTTGAAATAAACCCTTAATTCACACAATTAGAGTGAAACTATACTGGTTGTAAAACTGTAAAAGGAGGATTTGGTGACGGCAATTTTAGGGGCTGTTTCTGGTTAAACAAACCAAATCCAAGTCTTTAACAAAAAGGTCTATCTCTGTAGGGATCCTTTCAATAATGTCAGACACTTACAGTAACAATCTGAGCCTGTCAGTGGCAAAAACAAGCACTTTTTGTGGATGTAAATTGACAGTACATACAGTGTGCTGCAAGTCGTTACACTGCAGCCTGTTTCGCAGCTGCTACCTTCAGCCCTCTCACTCAATACTGGATCAATTAAAACAAATGTTGTTCCCATTAGTCACTTAGACACAAAAATATGAGAAAATAGGGCTCAGGGTGAAAAATACCTAAGTTATGCTATAATGCCCAATGAGGTACTACAGTTGATTTTCTGCTAGGCCTACCAGTACCAATGACATTCATTGTGGTTGATAAATTAAACTTCAGATATGAAAATCCGTACCCAAGCTGTAAAGAGGACACTCATGCATTGATGACGGATGCTGTGGTGAGCCATTTTCTGCCATTTTCTCCAAGTCATGCACCAAAAGCATGCTTGGTAGCAGGCTCAGAGCATTACAGTGACGTCTGTAAGATGCAAGAGAGGAAGCTTCCTCCGCACCGCCACAGATGAAGACGATTAGGGGAAAATCTCAGAGGCGGGACGTTTCCCGGCCCAGACCCAACTCCGCAACACTCTCGTAGTCGGGCTCCGCCTTGGCGGCGTCTGACCCCTCCGCTCCCAGCCCAGCCCTGTGGTCATCATCTGAGCTACTAGTCTTTGGGATGCGTATGGTTTCATAGCCGGGATCTGTGCTGTCCAAAGTGGGGTCTTCCCCCAGCTGGGGCTCGTCAGGCTGGGCGTAGATGTCTCGGACGGTGGCGTAGAGGTCACTGGAGGAAGAGGTTGTGACAAGACCTTTGATCTCTGCAATGCTGCTGTAGTCGTGCTCTTTGTCTTCCTCGTTCACAGCATCGTCACAGTTTGTTTTGTTGACTGTAGAATACACCGCTGACTGAAGGACAGAGAAGAAACACACGTGAATTGCCCCTATTTTGTATAAAATCATTAGAAACACAACTACAGATATTGAGATAACAGGACTGTGAACACAAGAAGAAAAAGTCTCCGATGCATTTGTACTAAAAGATACACACTAGGTTTTTCCCTCATAACATACTGTGAGAAAGTATGACTCTTTTACCAGTTTCCTCTTAAAACAATATATTTCTGGTGCTCAGAGCATTGGCATTCACAGAGTAACGTGCTGCCATCTTGGGAGAGGAGACGGCAGTTTGGGGAGTAAGGGAGTTTAACACATGCTTACCTCATTGTCTGACAGAATGTGGTTGTCGAACCCTGGTGCCGGAGACAGAGGGGAGTGTAACTGGAGGAGAGAAGAACAAAAAGATAGATTTAGATATGGCTCATAGTGTATGAAAAAGAAAGACCGAGCACAGAATCAGACGTTTTATGCTACAAAGTGGCTCCTGAAAATGGCTGTTGGGAACATTTGAGGGGTTGTCCCACATTTTTATTCTTCTGTCGTAAAAATGGAAGAATCAGTCTGTCGAGTTTTAACAGTTTCTCTTATAATTAAAAGCGTTGAACTTTAACACTTAAACACTGTAGTGATAGAGCTGTTCTGAATAACTTTGAGGGAATTCAATATATGGCAGCAGTTCTTATTATCCCTGAACTCTCTTTGTCTTTAAAAGCATTTGGTAACCGATCAATAAAATTAACTTCTAAACTATTACCAGCATAGGAGAACAAAACCTCTGCATCTGCTGTGATACATATAAAGCTAATGTTGTATATAACCACTCATTCATTAAGAAAATTATTGAGTAAAAGTCGACATCCAGTGACAGGGAGTGTGATGTTTTTGTGCCCAGGCTCTGTCCGCATCGCCTTATGATCGATGAGGGAGCCATTAATCAACAAAGCACATCTGACAGCAGCACCAAACACCTAAAGTGATTAACAGGAACCTCAATATCACAGCCAGTGCAGAGCAAACACATCAGATTGTGACTTTTTTTTTTACACACTTCACTGGATGGAAATACTTTGCTTTGTGTGCTCTCTTTCTGACTCGACCTAAGGAATAAATTCAGATTTACTAAGTCCTTAACCGGGTGCACCAAGGTTAATACTAATGCATTTGAAAAAAGAGAAAGCTGTTCACTTGTTGAGGCACAATACTTGGTACTTGTCAAGGACACATCACCATACAGGCCACGCTCTTATGCACTGAATGAGAAACTGTGCACAGAGATCATTCATCAACATGTCCTCCCTGGCTATGTGTCATATCTTCATGCAGATACATGTTTCTCTGGCATATTCTCAAAATGCCTCAATCAATATCATTACTTTATGGACGACGCATGATCGGAGACATGATTACTTTTATAGATTCGACACACACACACCCTGTAACGCAGCAGATGCCTTTTTCATTTCACTTCAATTAGCTGACCAATTAGGCAGAGTGCCCTGGAGGAGTCGGCGCATGAAACATGGACGCAGGTGACTTGACCCAGTCACCGCACCTCTGAGCACGCCTCGTAGTGTTTGTTCATCTTATTTGCAGCCCGTTTATTCTTGGCTCAGGCACCGTTGCAAATTGAAGTGGAATTTTGATTTAGTCAGTGAGCATTAAACACAGTATTTAACCTGAGTTTGATATGTATGGAAATTAACCCTTTGAGTTCTGGAGCGACGTGTGCTGCTTTCTGACACCTTTCGCAAGTACTTAAACCTTTGAACCTTTGAATCTTGAGCAAATTGTGATTGTGATTGTGTCTTGAGCGTGGAGCACAGAGAAGCAGTCAAAGCTACAGGCTACAGTGAGGCTAAAAACAGAGTTCAAATGACATTTTTCCAAACAACTTTTTATGTCGGGGCTTCAGAACACTTGGATCACTACGGATGAGCAGTATGGAGATACTTTGTGGATTCAATTTTGTGTTCTTGGACGTTAGTCTGGGGCGCCGTCTGCCATTAGGTGTGCTAGCCGCTCCCCCCGCCGATCTCCGCAAGGGATGTGAGGACTCTAAAACTTCACCAGGGCCTCCGTTGGCATATGGGTGAGTAGATAATGGCTGAATTTTCATTTTTGGGTGCACTATCCCTTTAAGCACTCTTTCCAAGTCTCTGCTTGTTAGTTTGACTTTATATTTCTTCCTATTTTTTTTTTTAAATAATTTTCTTGTTTTTAATTTTCTCTTTTTATTAATTTCTTGCCATTTTTGGGGGGGGGAACTTCATCCTTTGTTGCTCCTTGCCTTCTTCCCATGTTTTAAAATGAAATCAAGCCAATTTCCTCAAAACTTTATTTCATGCAAAAATATAGGGTTCCCAAGGTCATGGAAAATCTGGAAAAATTATGGAATTTCACAATCTTGTTTTTCAGACCTTTATGTGTAAATAAATTAACTGTCGCAGTAATCTTTGTCCATAAACTTGTGTGGGAACCCTGATAGTCATCCAATATAAAGATCTTTAACAGTGTTTCGTGTCTATACACATCAAGACATTACATCTGAGAGATTAATATTTTGACGTGTTACAATAAGATGTTCATGTGTGTGTGTGTGTGTACATCAGATGGGATTGTGTCAATGTGTTCATGTGTGTGTAGGAGACACAATGACATCCAGGACATGTGAGTGTGACAGTAAGCTGATTACAGTGGCCTCAGAAGATGGACGACTCAGGTGTCAATGTGTCAGTCATGCTGACGCGCATGTTTACACACGCACATACAAATCTGTATGAATACATCAACACAGTTATCTGCATTCCCTGTGCACGTAAATAACTCCATGCAAACTGTAACTATAATACATCCAAAACCCACAATAACATGAACTAAAATAATAACCTTTATCACACTGACACACACATCTTACACACTCAGTTCCTCTATTTAACAGTAGTGATTCCCTTTGGCGATTAGCAGCAATGCTGACTATAGCAGTTTACCTGGACCATGTCCCCAGCGTATATCCCAGCAGCCCACTGGCTGGGTCAAATTCATTTCCTGCACTGCGCATAAAACCCCCCACAAGCGACACACAGGCAAATGACTGCAAACAAGTGTTACTGCTGTTTATAACAGTTCACTAATCATATAGCTGCACAGGATCTGAGACACTGTGAATGAGAGGTCACAAATACCCATTTAGGATGAAGAGTGTGTGTTTCTGTGTGTTTCTGCAGTGAATGTTTACAAGAAATCACGTGTATGTATAGAAAAATGTCTGCATATGTGAAAGCGTGCCCCTGTGTGTATGAGCTGCTACCTGAGGGGATTCCTCTTAGACATTTACATACAGGCACCCCAGCATTTGTACAGATGTGTGTGTGTGTGTGTGTGTGTGTGTGTGTGTGTGTGTGTGTGTAAGACAGAGACAGAGAGAGAGTTTCTACGGCCCATATCATCCATCATGAAGCCAGACTAACTGTCATAGTGATGGTGGCCAGCTGGCGCTCATAGGCTCAGACGCACACACACACAAGCACAGCACACACACTTGATCTGACAAGACAAATCACCAACGGCTCCCGGTCATACATGGACATAAACCGCAGGGAGCCGGGAGCATTCAGGGTTAACCTTAAATCAGCCCCAGGGAGTCTATGTGCAGCAGAATATATGTAAACACATATATGCTGTAGTTTCTGTGTGTGAGTATAATGTGGGGGGGTGGGGTGGGGGGAATAACAGAGTTAATGCTGACTAGACATGGCAACAAGGTGCATGTGGGTGTGTCTGTAAATTAGTACATTTTTGATGTGTGCAGCTGTCACTATGGGATCTGAGATTTATTATGGTGGAGTAGATCAAGATTTTATCATAGACTGGGGTTCAGATGAGGCTAGACTCGCCTGCTGTCCAACTGAGCAGCAGTAATTAACTAATTGGCCACTATAGGAGAGACAAAGGAGAGAGAATAGAGATGTGATTACAAAAAGAGGAGATAAAGAAGGAGAGGGGGAGGAGATGAACAGAGGAAAAGAAAGCCAAGAGGATAAAGTATCATAAAGGATAGTTCTGGTTTATGAGAAGGCATTTTCTCTGTTTGAAGGGTCTACCAGAATAGGAGAGATCAGACAATCAGTTTATAAACACGTCATCAATCAGATTATCTAAACCACTTCATTCATGTAAAACCAAAATGAGATTGACAGTTGACTGTGTGACTGTAAGTGACTTGCTGATAACTACAGCAAGTACAGTAGGTCAAAGTTGAAACAGGAATCCCGTCTGTTGACTGGATTAGCAGCTCTGTTGCTGTGTGATTCGTAACAGAACCATGATCCATTCTCCACATGTGCAAAGATAGTTGCGGTTAGCCACTGGCCTCAAATGGTTTGGCTAAGGACAGCACATTGGTGAGGGGATAGGACCTGAACAGACTGGGTGGTGACGAGTTCTGTGAGGCTGCGCTTAGGCACAGCTAAATGCTAACCACAACATGCTAACATGGTCACAAGCAGGTCAATGTTGGGGTGCTCCCAGTAGCTCAACAGAGAAAGTGTGTGCTATTAAGGCTAAATCCTTCACACAGTGGCCCTAGCTTGAATCTGGCCTGGGCCCTTTGCTGACAAGTGTTTACAAATGTCACCAATTTAATTAAGCATATTTAGCAATTTGTTAGTATGCCAGTATAATTAGCACCAAACACAAACAGCTACACTACAGGGGGACATGACTGTATGTGTGTACCATAGACTGTATTTCTATGCTGCTTGATTTTTAATTTCAATGAGATTTTTACCTGCTTAAATAAAGGATATATCTACACCGATCAGCCAAAACATTAAAACCACTGGTGGGTGAAGTGAATAACATTTATCATCTTGTTGCAGTGTAATGTTCTGCTGCTAAGTGACGTGTTCCACCCACCCGAACACCATTGCAGTCAAAGTAAACCCCCTCTTGGCAACAACACGACGTCAGTGACAACTGGATGGCAGTGGCCCCCAGCAAGACAATGCACCATGCCACATCACAAAAACTCCTCATGAATGATCTGAGGAACGTGAGAGAAAGCTCAAGGCATCGACCTGACCTCCAAATACCCCAGATCCCAATCTGATCGAACATTTGAGGGATGTGCTGGTACACTAGAGGTAGCCCCAATCTACGGTGGGTCCTCCTTGGACCGGACTTGGCTCTGACCTGTTAAGGCATGAACACAGGACCTCTTGAGGGTGTCCCTTGGTGTCTGGCACCAACACGTTGGCTTCAGATCTTTTGGGTCCTGTGGGTTGTAAGGTGAGGTACTAGTACGTCCCACAGATGTTTGATCAGATTGGGATCTGGGGAATTTGGAGGCCAGGTTGATGCCTTGAGGTCTCTGTCATGTTCCTCAGGTCATTACTGAGCAGTTTTTGTGGTGTGGCATGGTGCGCTGTCCTGTTGGGGGGGCCATTGCCACTGAGGAGTGCTGTTGCCATGAGGGGGGGTACCTGGTCTGCACTGGTGTTTAGGCGGGGGGAGCATGTCAGGTGGTATCCACATGAATGTCAGAACCAAAGGTTTCCCAACAGAACATTGCTCTGTAACAAGATGAGCAATGTTGGTCACTTCACCTGTCAGTGGGTTTATGTTTTGGCTGATCGGTGTATATACATGTATGTATATAAAAGAAGTGGACGAAGTAACTGACGCCACCCATCAGTTTGCAAACTACTATTTTAAAACCCCGGGTTTTTGTCCATTGACATCTTGTTTTACTGGAGCCGGAAATTACCATTTTTGAATGAGAGGGTGGAGTTAGGTGGTGGATCTGAGAACTCGAGGACGCCATGTCAATCACAAGGTAACCACGCCCTAAGGGAGACTCAGAACTAACCACTGCTATTGAGGTTTGGCAAAATTTTAGAGAAAAGGCGCCAAGCCGTATATGTATGACGCACATTTAAGTTGACAAAATGTTTTAATTCGGTGTATAGGCTACACATTTTTATGATTGGAAAGTGTTAAAAACACCTATGTCCTCCTACAGTGATAATTTAATATTAAGTTGGAGCCACAGGTTGCCTAACCCTGCACTAGAGGAAAAGTCAGGGGATTAACAAAGACATTAGAAATCGTCTCTGGGCACCATCAATGTTGTTGAGTTCTCAGTCCAGACAGACAGACCAACCAACATTGCCGCCCTTAGAGCCAGGCCAGAGATACATTATAATCAACTGTAGTTACATTTAAAATAGCAGAAGGGAAAATAATGCAGAGGACAGTGAACATAAACAGATCTTATGAGAGAAAGAGTCACATGCAGCTTTGTGGCAGATTGACTTGTCAGCATCTAAAAGTCTGATGCAATTCTTTCTGAGCTGTGAGTGTGTAAGTATGTGTGTTTGCTGCTTTGTTTGTGTGTTTCTCTGATGGATCTCCGCATGTGGAGGGCGGCGTGCTGAGAGCAGCAGCAGCTCCGCTCTGTTCGGTGCATGACACTGAACCGCTTTTTCTCCTCTTCTTCTCACCTCTCCTGTCTCTTTTTACTCTTCTTCCATCTCTCCTCCGTTACATCTCCATCCCTCACCCCTTCTCCTCCCTCTAATACTGTTTCTTCTTTATCATCCTCCTATCATCTGTCTTCCGTCCTCTCAGCTACAGATGGCTCCATTTGTATGCCGCTGGGTTTCCTTTTTTCTTTATTTCTCTCTATCTCACTGCCTCTCACTCTTGACTCTCTTTCTGTCTCACCCTTTATGCCTCCCGGTCCTCTCAGCTCTTTTTGAGTCTATCTCCCATCATCTCTCTGTCACTATCTCTATTTCATCTATTACTCTCGCCTGCTCTTCCCACTCCAGCTCCCATTTTCATTCTTCTCCTCTCCCATCACTGCTATACCATTTCCCCTCTCGCTCTTCTTCTCTCAGTCTGTCAGTCTCCCCAAAGCAGCTCTGAGCAGGCAATTTTAGATGATAATTGTGGTGGCCACACATCTCATCATTTCATCTGTTCGCTACGATCTCCTTCTCAAGCCAGTTGTGTTGATGTTTACAGAGCTGCCCAGTAGACGACCCATCTCTGGTTTACATGGAGATTATTAGAAGGGGAAAACTGGGAACTGTCTAAATTTTTGTCCAAAATAAGCTCCTATCATTCTTTAAAAAGTCTGTAATATTTTGAGAATGTTTATTTTGACTTTTATGGCTGTAAAATTTTATAAAAGAACATCTCTTCAGTCTGAATCTCTAACTTGGTTTTTATAAAAGTTCTATCTGCAAAGCAACAATCAGTGCTATGAATGTACACCTGAGAACCAAAGGGTTCAGGTTTTGGGTTTCTTTCCAGTGTCATCGCACTGCTCTGTGAATGTGGTCAATCTTAAAATTTGAAACCTCATTACTGATTAGGGATTGCCGCCATCTTTGTTTGGGGACATGAGGTTTAGTAATCTCTGGTCTGTCCACTGCAAAAATTTTGAGTGAGTTATCCTTTCTGATTAATGGCACAACTTTAAGTTACATTTTAATTAAAGAATATTGAGGCCAACATAGAGTGCAGTTATTTTGAAGCCCTTTCTATTGATTCTAAGGCAAGACATGAGAGAAACCTCTCCCTGACCGGCCTTGAATCGTGCCTTAGGTTGTCTTACATGATATCCCTAACTTTGTGCTAGCTTAAAAAATGAGTTAAGTACGAGTAAAATATTTTAAATTGGCCGAGCCTGGGCCTTTAATGTCCATGAAAATGCAAGATGTCAAAGTCAGTACATTTACATGCAGCTTGAGAAAATCTAATTATTGGCTTAGTCCGATAATTGGACCTGGAGTCGGACTCAGCGTTCTGCGCATGCACCACTTTTTCTTTCGCAGGCTTTCACCCGGAAGAAGAAGTAGATGACGTAGCAGCAGTTCGGTAACTCGTGGAAAAACAAACAAACAAACACCATGGCGACCGAGAGGCAGAAGACGCACTTGTGGACGGACGAGGAAACTACATTCATGCTCCAACAGCTAAAGGAGCTAAACATTTTGAAGTTTATGGATGGTCGGAAAACGTGAAAGGCAGATTTATTTAAAAAAGTTTCTGAACAAGAACTTGAATTAGTTCAACACACACTATATTATAAAGGACACAGAGCCACCTACTGAGGCGGAGTCAGACATACTTGGTCAGAAATTCAATTTTCTCTTCAGCATATATACTCAAGACAAGAGTCCTACTTGACTGATTAGTTGAGCTATGAGCTTAGCTCGACTACTGCGTGCATGTAAATCAGAAATACTTTATTGATCCCCGAGGGGAAATTATTTATGTTACAATATACTGAGTATCACTATCCCACCAATATCATATGACCTATTAGTATGAGATTTGTTTATCATTCTCACCTGTTAGGAGATGGGTAGAGCAGACATAAGTGTGATTTAACTTGGGGGAACAGGGTCTGTTTGTTTAAGTTAGGCCGTGTGATGGCCGCCAGCCACTTTTTCCTTCACGATTCCTTAACTGATATGATATAAAACTGGAGACTTGGATTTGTCTAGTCTTGTTAGCCGTACAACCCAGCAGCTTTTCGGCATGTTGGCGTGCCGATATCACAAAGAAAACTATTTTAATTTGCTGTTGCTGTTTTGCAGTTCTCTGCACAGCTCAAACGGCACCTGAAGTGATCTTTCCCTCATGTTATAGTAGCATAGTAGCAACAGGCTGGAAGTTGACTTCAAGAACAATTTTATTTAAACGCTATTTCACAGCTTATGATGACAAAGCTTTAATATGAAGGAATCTCAGGTAAGTTTATGTTTCTAGCAGCTGGACTTTTATATAATGCTGACAGTATCTGCTGCTAACTTGGTTTGTGTCTGTTATAACCTGTGTATTGCAGCAGACAGTGATGGCCAGTGTCTGGATTCAAAATACAGTGCATTAAGGCTGCCTATTGTTTCACAGATTGAACCTCATGCTGCGGCTTTTAATTCAATTTCTTTTTTTTTAATTATCAAAAATGTAACTCCTAATGTATTTTTAATAAGTTCCTGCTTCTGCATTACCTTTTAAATAAGATTTTCTCTGTTTACTAACTAGGCATTAACCAGCAGTATGCAAATGTTAGCTGACTAAACTGCACAGGTGTAGGACCACATACACACACACACACACACACCCACCCACACCATTCTCACCTCTCCATTGTGCATCACAGCTCCAGCCAGGCCATTCATCACCACTGGCTGGTTGTCGTTCTCATCCAGAACCTTCTCTGGTACCGGTGGAGGCAAGTCCTCCTCTGGTTCCTCCTTGTGCGAGGGAGCGCTGGCATTATCAGAGCGCCTTTTGGCCTCCATGTCGGCGCTGTGACGGCTCTTCTTATTCAGGTCGACAGAGGCGTACTCCACCCCCGCGCACAGGGGCCCCCGCTCTGGTGTGCAGGGGCTGAGGTGGCCGTTGAGAAGGGCAGGGGGATGATGGGGAGGCTCATCGGGGCTCAGCTGGACGGTACTGTTGGGGACACTGAGCTTTGCGGGGGGGTCTTTCAGTTCCTTGACTGTCTCGTACAGGGAGTCCTCGGCGCTGACGTCACGTGATGCCACTGCAATCTCCTTCACCACCTGGAAATGGGATATTGGGTACTTAAATATGCTTGTGCATGAGCAGAATATATTCAGTGTTTCTGTTTCCTGACTGTAAACTTCAATCAATCTATCAACCTCTGATGGAGAAATTCTTTCTCTATATATTTTGACCCTGAGCTCGATCAATCAAACAATCAATCAGCAGCCCAAACAGTCACAGCTTTAATCTCCTGCGACGGCCACGTTTAAGTTAAGTGCAAGTAAAAACACGATTTAGCGAGATGACTTTAAACACTGACCTCATAGGTGCTGTCCCCTGAGGCTGGGGGTCCATCCCCAATGAGGGCGTTGTTGGGAGGAATGCTGGGAAGCTCGCGGTCCTGAGGACACTTGGAGGACCTGAGCTCTGATTGGCTGGAGAGCATATCCTCTGACGGCTGGGGACTGGTGTCCCCTGTGTCTGTGAGGACTAGAGGAGCGGAGAGAAAAAAGAAGGGAGAGTGAAAGCTGTTTTTTTTTTAACAATGACCTGTAATGAGACACATCTTTATTATTCATCACTGCAGAATAGATGCATTACTATTTACAGTTTGTTACTGATATTTAGTACCTACCCACATATAAATGACTAAGACCATTACATAGATATGGCCATGAGATGAACCAAAGCTAAAAGTCATCAGATGTTGCATAACACCAGCTGCAAATGTTATCATGCAGCTAAAAGGACAGTCGTGATTCTAATACCGATATCATAGACTTTCAGACATGACAAGCTAAGCTAAAGCTAAATGTCGTGGCTTACTTGTACCGCTGGTTAGAGGACCATTGTGAGAGCTGCTGACGGCTGCGTCAGTCGCTGGACTGTCTGCCGATTGGCTGATCGTCTCTCTCTCTGACACCTGCACAACAAAGGGGGAGATGTTTGTCACTGCTGGGCTGAGCTCAGAGGCAGGCAGACTGACTCTGTGCTGACAAAAAAAACACCTCAGAGGTTATTACAATAACACGACACGCAAAAAAAAAAAAAAAAAAAGTTCATTTCTAAGGGGAACAGAAATCAATCTGCACTTGTCAGCTTGCACGGGGTAGATGACTTTCACACCTCTGTACAACACAAAAGCCACTGTCAGCAGATTGTAATGTGTTTTTTTTTCTGGATCTCCAGGATTTTGAGGAACTGTCATATTTGGAGCACTGATTACAATTTTCACACCTCCCTATTATTTATCTCTGCTTTTCACAGCTTTCCCAAACACATTACTGATTACTTCATGCTAATCATCAGCATGTTACGCATGCATAATCAAATGTAGTGTGTCTTTACCCACCGACAAAAAACATCCAGAGAGAGTAAAAAGCAAAACTGATTTATGCCTAATGAAGATACAGTGCTGATTGTAATTAGATTAATGACAGGCTGAGCTGATGTAAGATCCATCTTTTGAGGAAAGCATCTCCCTTTATGTCTGTAAAGTTACTTTGGTTTCTTAGTAGGACACAGAAACAGAGACACTCACACAGAAATCTGTTTCCCTATTTTACCTTTTCTTCGCCTGCAAGTCAAAACTACAAAACAACAACCCTGCAGCTGGTAGGGATCTACTCATGCTCAAGGACACTTCAGTGGGGCAGATTTTTTTTACAGTGAGTCTTTAAACTGTGTCTTCCAGTTGAAGCCTATTTACCACATCACATGGCGAAGTCAGCAGCCGAATCAGCCCTGTGATTAAACTGATAAGGCACCTGCCGCATTGAGGCATGATTCAACACCATGCACTTTAACCACTTGTGGCCTTATTTCCGAAAGACACAGATACCACCGAGTCACTCACTTCTAGAAAACTGTGATGATATATTAACCGCTGCAAGTCAAGATTCTCTTTGTTAAAGGTTGTTGTTTTCCTTCTGTGTGAGCAGGAGTGTATCAGAAGCTCCACAACCCCACCTAGTGGTCAACTACTCTCACAACTAGTGGGGTGCATGATGTAATCTTTTAACTATTTTATGACCCAAATAACTCTTATGTAATTCTTTTGTCGTTTTATTATCTTGATCAAGGTGGGAGATAGGTAGAAGATGAAGATGTCCTTGTCTCAGTGTTATTCAAGTTCCATCTTCTCTCATTTTATTCCTCATCTAAATCCTGATCAGAGTCCTGACAGTGGATCAGTTTATAAACTAGGATCATTTTAAATTTCGCAAACTTTATGGAAATCTAAAAACATGAATTGTGGTGTTTTCATGAGACTAAATCCTGCCTGAATAGAAGACATACTAAACACATGATAAATTTCACCAACAAGGGAGGCAAGAAGGAGACTTCCTCCACTGTGTTCGGAAGCAGGAAAGACAGTCAGAGTGATTGCGGGGTGAGCAAGAAGAGACAGTCTACTCATCCGCAAAGACAAAGACCCCCATTTAACCTATCAGTCTGTGACAAGGTCCGTCATTTAAATGGGCCCCTCCTGAAACAACCTGACCACCCAGCAATTGCAGGTTAGAGTGAAGATATCCATCAAACGTAAAAAGGCTCTGAGGAATGTGTATGTGCACATGGGCACACGTGGAGTGACACACACACACACACACACACACACAAAGCCCCAGAGGGAGTGAGACGATAGGAGAGTAAGTGGATGTCACTTAGTCTGTGAAAGCCAGGCATTTGTCACACTTAAATGTTGCTCGGTTACTGAAGCATCACTTCTATGGGAGTTGGTAATAACTATCTTTAACATGGTGTTCAAGAGGACGTGGCGTCATTATGAGTTGTACTAACATGGAGAGGGCAAAAGTCAACTCTGTAAGGAGTGAATACTCTGTTTTTTTTTTAAGACTTGTGCCATTTGTCTTATTGTTTCATCAAATTTAATTTCCTTCATTCTCTCGATTGACTTTAAAGGGATAGTTCAGATTTTTTTATGTGAGGTTGTTAGAGGTACCTATCCATTATCAGTGTATTACCTACAGTAGATGGTGGTAACCACACCCCAAGCTGTGGATGTGGAGAGGAGCAAAATGTAATTTAGCAACCTAAAAACAAACCATATCACCTTAAGTTCACGCTTATAGGATACGCTTTACCCTGCTGTCAGACAGGAAACTAAAGCTGTTATCTATGCTCTCCTCAAAGCCACCAAACTCCAGTGACATAAATAGTAATTTTCCCCTGCAAAACATAGGAGTTGCTGGCCTGCTGCTGCCTTGATTGGTTAGTTAGTTTGTGGCGAATCGGAACTAAGTTCAAATATCTCTGGGTTTTGTTCAAGAGTGAGGGCAGAATGGAGCGTGAGATGTGGCCGTTTGGTGCAGCTTCTGCAGTGATGCAGGTGCTGCGCTGGTCCTTCATGGTGAAGAGGGAGCTGAGCCACAAGGCGAAGCTTTCAATTTACTGGTCCATCTACGTCCCAACCCTCACCTATGGTCAAGAGCTTTGGGTAGTGACCGAAAGAATGAGATCGCAGATACAAGCGGCTGAAATAAGTTTCCTCCGTGGGGCGGCTGGGCTCAGCCTTAGAGATAGGGTGAGGAGCTCGGACATCCAGAGGGAGCTCAGCGTAGAGCCGTTGCTCCAAAGGGGTCAGATGAGGTAGTTCGGGCATCTGATCAGGATGCCTCCTGGGCGCCTCCTGCTAGAGGTGTTTCAGGCACATCCAACTGGTAGGAGGACCCGGGGCAGACCCAGAACATTCTGGAGGGATTACATATCTCATATAGGCTGGGAACACCTTGGGGTCCGCCAGGAGGAGCTGGAAAGTGTTGCTGGGGAGAAGGATGTCTGGGGTGCTTTGCTCAGCCTGCTGCCCCTGCAACCCGGCCTCGGATAAGCGGATGAAAATGGATGGATGGATAGAACTAACCATTTAAAACACAAGTCACACAGTACCACAAACAAACTACAGATTGTGGCAGTTGTAGACCAGCAGCTCCCATGTTCTGAGAGGTAAAATTACTGTTTTTGTCAATGGGGTCCGGCTTTGAAGAGAGCATAGATAAGTTTAAATTTCAATTCGGTTCCCAGTAGATAATACACTGAATAAGGAGAAGTACCTCATACAACCCCACTTAAAATATCTGAACAATCCCTTTCAGAAAGAGAAATACGCTCTACAACATCATAAGACATGATATGCGAATCAGTGGAATTTCCTCCATGTGCTCTCTCAGCAGGAGTAACCACTTCTCTCACACACAACTGGAGGCTGTCAGTCAGCTGTGTGTAGGCAGGTTTTGTTATTGTATGTTTCTGTGTCAGTGTGATGGAAGTGGACTGGAAGGCAAATGTCAGAGGGTGTGTGTGTGTGTGTGTGTGTGTTATTCAGGCATGCAGCCAATGTGGAAGCTGAATCCACAGCCTCATTTACCCGAGGTTACACTGCCTGATTACAGACATGTCACTCACACACACTGGGACTAATGAGGACTGTGTGTGCACATGCATGTGTGCTAGTTTCCATCTGAAACACAATGATAGTGCTTCCGTTTGACAGAGAGAATGAATCTGAGTAAATACTTTTCCAGCGATTAGATTTAATTACTGATATTTCACTGCTTGAGTTTCCGAGAATCCCGAGATATTAGTGAACCCTGACTTGATCTATCTTTAAAACACCCTTAGTTGCACATGATCGTTTGCATATTTGAGAGACTGCAAGAGCAATATGCATGTAAATGTTTGCATACATGTAATTACTAATCTGCCTGACGCACTGTGGCGAACTGACTCAAAACACACAGCTGTTCTCCTCCGCGTTTCACATCACATAGATAACACAAGACAGGAAACTTAAAGCCTCAATTATGGTTTTGAAAATTAATTCTCAGGGACAGCTTTTTCATCAAGGGCGCCCTCTGAGATGCTTTAATGTCTCTTCAAAAGTGCCTTTGATTTCCCTTAAAGGAACAGTTTGTGTAGCTCGGCTAAAAAGAGAATAAGCATATTTATCATCATGTTGAACACTTTCTTTAACATGTGCTTTCTTCGTGTGTACGACTGAAAGAATAACTCACTCCATTCATGAGGTTCTCATGGTCTCCTGCTGGATGTCCATTAACTGCCTTCTTCTGCCTAGAAAGAGAGATGAGAAGTCTTTATTCAGTCTGAACAAAACGTAATTTGTGTAAAAGTTGGATATGGCAGGCTTGTCTCCTGATTCCTGCCTTCTTCCTGTTGCTTTCTGTAGGCCATATGGGCTCTCAGGGACACTGAAGCTCCACTCCTGTTCACTTCCTTGGGTGTACAGGACAATTCTTTCTGCTGTTGGGGGGGTGTTTATAAAAGCAATTACAATACTACAATTTGCACATGCTAGCCTCATTTGACAGCTCATACACTCATTTATAATTGTGATGTTAAAGCCATAAAACCCCTGAGGACATGCGTTACTGTTAGTCAGCAGAACTGATCCTCATAGTTGAGACGCCCATAATTACTGAAGCTAAGAATACCCTCTCAGGTATTTGTGCTATTTTCAACACAAAGATGCACGGTCGCCATTTTCCAGCACGAGTATGTATAAACATCTGGCAGTAGGTTCAACCAGGCAGCCTTTCCTGACACCTTATCTTACTATAAGTCAATCCTTGACTGTGTACGTTTTCTTTTTCTGTACAGGAGAGCAAATATGGATTGAAAGATATTTGTATGTTTACCATATGAAAAGCTTAAAAAGAGACACATGGAGACATATTTATATTGTTGGGGTTAGTCAAGCAGTGTGTACAATTTACTGCCATCTAGTGGTGAGATTGCAGATTGCAACCACCTGAAACTTCTCCCATGTGCCAAGCATGAACTCCTGGTTAGGATTCCTTCAGTATTCATTGTCCAGGAGGTTTTTACTGGCAGCCGAATTATCCACAGAGGTCTCCTCCTCTCCAAAACAAACAGACCAGGTGATTTAAATGGGTAAAAACACTGAATAGAGCTGTTTCACTTTAAAAATCACCATTTTTCCAAAGCTGTTCAGCTTGTTGCGGAGAGTCTGCTAAGTACGGTGGCCGACACGAAAACACAAATGGCCTTATCTAGAGCCAGTGTTTGGTTTGTCCGCTTTGGCCTACTGTAGGAACATGGCGGTGAAACATGGCAATCTCCACAAACAAGGTGAAGCTTCCTATGCAGATATAAACGGCTCATTCTAAGGTAATGAAAACAGGTGATTTTACACTGAAGAAAACATACTTATTATATTATATTCCATTTCTGCCAAGATATAGAACAATGCCAGTAGAATTTTTAAAAATGTGTGATTCATTTTTTGTTTTTAAAACATAAGCAAAGCTATTTTTAATGGTACAAGTTTGACTAATTCAATAATTACAGGAAGCTTGTTTGAATAAGAATGTAGGCGAGGCATATAAAGGTAATTGCTTTAGTCTGAGCCTTTACGGTCACTGTTTAATACACAGATTGTTCATTTTGTTTACACTGTTTTATTGTTTATACTTACTGTATTATGTGTGATAACTGGCAAAAAATAATAATTCAAAAAAACAACAACTAAATCTTCTTAGAACAACAACAACAACAATAGGTCAGTGCCGTTCATGTATGTGTGTGTCTGTGTGTGTGAGATGGTGCTCACCCCTGGCAGCTAGCACACAGCAGCAGCAGCACAGAGACCAGCAGCAGGGCGGCGAGGATGCTGAGGGTGACGACCAGGACCAGCTGCCCGCTGCCCAGCCACGACGCCACCCCTGTAGCAGCTGCCGCACCCGACCCGACGATGCCTGCCTCCGGACCCCACCACACTCCACTCAGCACCGGAGCCATGACGCATCACACTGAGGGGGGAGAGGACATCGGACAGGTACCAGCTGGGGAAACACAGGGAAAATAAAAGCAGACACATGAAAAACCCACAAAAAATAAATAATTCATCAGCTTGCCATCATGAGAAATGATAACAACACAGAGTGGCACACGCAGCATTATATTACCTTACGTGAGATTAAACATGCAGGGGAAGAATCTGTGTGTTTTCACTTTTTCAGCACATCCTAAACGATAAGTGTTGTTTGAGGATAACTGTAATTTACTGAAGGATACATTCCACTGAAGCATGCAAGCTGTGTTTTATTTGCTGAGCAAACAAACTGGATAGACTTGATTTTTGATGCAGCTGCTTTACTGCAGGAAACCATCCACTGATTCTATTAATAAACAGCAATGAGTAACCACATGAAAATGTCAGGCTGATCATTGCCAGTAAAAACCACCTCTGGTATTTTGATCAGTCACTCCTCCTTCACACACTGATAAAGAACACATTGTTTAATAATCAAGTCACATCTATTAACCAGTAACTCAACTGTACACTATGACCACGCACGGCCAGCAGGTGGCAGCACAGAGCGGCGCCAGACTGCAGTGCAGAGTGATCTGCCTCAGTCTTGCTGCAGTGGCCCTCACAACAGAGCCTCCAACAACTGGTGTCTGGGCTCTGCGCACAGCATAAGCAACCTCATCACGTCTGCGTCTCACATCCAAAGTTGGGTCTCACTGAGCTGATGGAACCCCTGATGTTATCATGGGTGATTTATGGAGCTGCATGGTGCTGTGGGTGACTCACAGCGAGGGGAGGCGGCGGCAGGGATGAGCCTGAGTCTCAAAAAACTCCTCTAACAAATAAATGTGGAGTGGATGTGTGCGTGCATATAGGGACATCTGGCACTGCAGTGCATGACAGAGATGCAGGACGGATTATGTGGAGCAGGAGTGATAGCATGAGAAGGTGACATGCAGGGATGACTGACAGGGAAAAACAGTGAGCATCTATCTATGTGCCCTCTTTTGCATGGCCTTCTCCTTTCAATCAGCCGACGAGACAGCTACGGCAGACCTGGCAAGGATCAGGAAACAGTGACAAGAATATGACAATCTATCTTCTGGCACATGTCTGGAGTGGTGTGTGTATGTGTACAGAATATGTGTATTTAATGCCGGCGGTGAAAAACTCCATTGTGTCTGTCTGCTCGCCTATGCTAATGTGACCAGGGAGTGTGGGAGTTGGGGAAGCTTCGAGCAGTGAGGAAGTTTTGTGGCGAAATCAGACAGGAGCTGCAGAAGCCAATTTTAACTTCTTCAAAAGGACACTGAGGAATTCCTGTTTTTGCTGAAACACCGGTGTGTGTGCCCCCCTCTCTGAATGAAAAATACACCCGGCTCATGTTGCTATCTGTGCGAGTGCCTGCTGAGAGCCGAACACAACCTTACCTTGACACCTTGGATGATTAGTCAGGTCGGCCTCGTCTGGAAGAGAGCAGATAAAAAAAAAGAGAAGGGGGGATTACTGCTTGGTGGAAGCTGAATATTATCCTTGGAGGGTGGCGTTGGTGTGTGTGTATGTGTGTGTGCATGAATGTAGGCTGGGCAAGTGTGTCAGTGTGTGGGAGAGCAGCGAGGGACTTGTGAGTATGTTTTTTAATACTCATATCAAATACATATTGGACAACAGGCTGCCTGCAACCTTTCAGACTCACATACTTTCTGTGCACACACATACACACCCACCTTCAGCCATGTATCTTCAATACTCTCACACACACTGACAATGTCCACTTTATTGACCAGTCTGCCCATGTAACAGAGAGGATAATAACCAGGTGACATCACCTCTGAATCGTATCATATAACACATGATACCAACTGTATCCTCCCCAATGTGTGTAACATCATGTACACACACTTTGCCCTCCCTCAGCTGCTGTGTTTCAGTCTACAAACTTCCCTGTTACACTGGGGCTGTACATTCAGATGAACACACATTCTTACTTTAACAGATTTTGACCTTGATGTCCACATTTTGCTCCAAATGACTTCAAATCAGAGTCCACATGCAGCCAAAACGCCGCCAGGTCTTCCACCCTTAACACGAAGAACCCCTGATATAATCCCTTATCTGGTCTCGTCTGAGAGGCTCGTGTCCAGGTGTCACTATCTGCCATTTGTGTGCCAGCTCGTGTGTCTCCGCTGGCACTTAAACCAGAATAATTACCGGCTGCCACAGCACTGTGTCTCCATGGCAACAATCCCTTCTTCCCATCAGCGCTATTTATGGTGGTAGAGAGAAAAAAAAGTCCACAGAAATGTTTTGAATGCAACTCATACTGAGGTCGGTGTGTGTGTGTAGGTATGTTGTTAGTTTCGGTGTACATTGTTTTCACCTGAACTTTTGTTGAACTGGACAGTAATGATGATGATGATGATGATGATGAAGTCAGAGTTCAGGGTCAGCTAATGAACTGCAATCTTCTCAATAGGGCTGTACTGAGTAGTTTGAAGCTTCATTCATAAAGTTGAAAATCAAATTCTAAATCAACATTCAAATGCACAGCTTTTTTTTGCATGTCAATTCATCCAGTGAAAGCCTGGTATTCCTGCACTGTTTCAAACACAGACTGGGCTACAGATCGAGTTAGATTCCAGTAGTAGCTGCGTAGGATTGTTTCTGACCTGTGTGATCCAAGCATTCGTAATTACTCCAGAGTGTTTTTAAGCCCAAAAGTCAAAATTTACTGAAAAAAAGATAGATGTAATCATATCCAAAATACACAATATGTTTTGATCTAAAAATATTTCTGCTTCAATGTGGCCCTCTGCCTTTCCTCGGGCATACACAGAAAGCCTCTTCCACGCGCCTACGTGGAAAGCATGAGGTGGAGAGAGCACACCTCTCCGCCCTTCTGCACGCCTGCGTGGAAAGCCATAACCTGTCTGCCCTTCCATGTGCAAACAAGGAAAGCCTGAGGCAGAGAGAGTAAACCTTCCTGCCCTTCCATGCGCCTACATGGAAAGCCTAAGGCAGGGAGAACAGCAGCAAAGACCCCCCGGGAACAGAACAGACCAGCATCAATGACAAACAGAGATGACATTGATGAGTCAGACACAGCATGAAAAGGAGGAGTTGGAGTGCAAAGTGGCTTGCAGAGGAAGCAGCAACAGTAGGCACGCCAGAGCAGTTTAAATAAGGTGCCCTGAATGAGATTTGCCAGTTGGTTGTATAGATAGGAATCATGTGATCTATCAGCTGACTCCCTTCCACCAATCAGCTGCTCCATCAATTGATTGGCTGTCTGAGATCAGCTGATGTAGCTGGGATGTGAGCTGAGCTTGACATCGTGTCCTGCCTGAACTAACGCTGTGCTCAATTTGGTGCAGCCCTAATTTTTAAAAAGAAATCTCGACTTGCTACTAAAGATGTCAACCGCATCCCACGACTTTGTTCGGCTGATGGTGTTGCTCAGTTGTTATGGAGATGCTTTAGTTATCACATGACCTAACTATGGAAATATGCACACGTGATGACCATGAGACAATCTTCAGGGCTGAAAAATGAAGCCAACATGGAAGTGCCAAAAACTGCAGTTTATTGAACATCCAAAACTAAGTTAGTCCCCACAGGCATACATGTTTAAATTGCCCAACTTAAAGCAGAAATAAACATGTTCACAGCCTGGTGCAAAAAACAATTTGACCCGTTCATGACAACTGTGCGGGAGGTGAATTTTTATATTACTCACCCACTTACACTTAATTCATTTATGAGTCAACTCCACCCCACTCCACAGCTCTAACCTCTCATCCAAATATGGTCATCTGGCTCCAAAAAACCAAGATGGTAACAGCCAAAATGGCAAACTCGAGATTCAAAACAGGAGTCCACAAACCAAAGGGTGACGTCACAGTAGCTACGTCCATTATTCTATACAGTCTATAGTGATTACAGGTGGTTGTATGTGAGGGGGATGTCATAACCTCTGTCTCTGTTCAAATATAGTTGCTGGTTTTGGATGCAGAAAATCTCCATGACAACTGAGCATCTCCACCGACTGAGGAAGGCCACAAGATGTTTCCTTTCCTTGAGAAACAACAAGCTGGACTTCTTTGTCAAGATGTTGCTTCCGAGGTCAAGAATGATCCTTCTTTCTGTGCCACCCTGTCCAGATGTTGTTGATGTTGAGATTTCTAAACTACAAGTTAAATAATGTGGTTGTTCTTTCATTAAATCTCAATGGGCTCATGAAATGACCTTGATGTGCTGAAGCTGAAAGGATTATTTTTAATGATTCATCTAGGGATGCTCCAATCCAGCTCTTTCTCCACTCTCCCAATAGCGAGTTACAGGTACCAGTGTACCAATGCTCTCTTTTCCCTGATTCAAGAACTCTACATGACACTGCAATGTACCCACTGGGATCATTCTTATGAACGGTAACAGACCAAGGTTCTGCGCGACACTACAAAATGATAAACTTTACTTTGACATGATTAAAACTCAACTTATCATTCAGCTCTGACTCCACACAATCTTAATTCCACTGGTATGAGGAACCTGTTAAGTACAAACACAGATGAAGCTCTGGATGACATTGCTGACATACTTGCCTGCTGAGTATAAAATATGTGTAGAGTAAACCATCCATTCTGTGCTCTGAGGAAACACTTCATTCCTAAATTCCTGATAAACACGGCACATAAAAGCCCCGAGTATGTTTTTCACTGTGGAAAACTCCTCACAGGCCACCACCATGTGATACACCGCACTGAGCCAAGGACTACAACTGTACTCTTTTATGCTGTCATTCTCTTTCTCCCGGCGCTTTCAGGCTTTGATGAAAGAAAACAGGAGCCTTGGAAGAGAGACAATCTGTGTGGCTGTCTTCTGTTTCATGCCATAGAAAATAACTGACTGGAAAAGCCATTTGAAAAGGAATGTGTTTTGGGAATTAAAGGCAGAAATCCAAATTTTACCCTCATCCAGCTGTGCACACACATTCAAAAACACACACAGACCAGAGAGTAACCACAAGCCCCATCAAGGCATAACCCTCCATGCAAGAAACTAGAGCCAAGGAGCCAAGGAATCCAATCAGAGCCCTGCAGCTCTACAGGCAGAAACCCTACCTGACATTGCAATGAAGCGTACCAGCCAGCGTGTGTGTGTGTGTGTGTGTGTGTGTGTGTGTGTGTGTGTGTTTCATCTGTGGGACAAGCTGTTGGACAGTGGCAAAAGACAGAGGGAAGAAAGAGAGAATTAACATCCACAAGCACAGAACAGTGCTTCAGTTTCTGTGGATGCCTGTGTGGCTGTGTGACACCTCCCCCTGCAGGGTCCTCTGGGTGCACGCAGACAGGGAAGGTTTACAGCTGGATGGCTGCTGAGAAATGAGCCTCAGGAAGCTTCTCAGAGGAGAGCCGGAGGCATTTCCACAATAATAAATAATCCAGTTTTTAGGAGAGAAACTTTCTTTGAGCAGCCGTGCTGGTGTGGAGCTCTGCAGGAAGCTCTAAGTCACATTAAAAAATTCTAAAATGAGTTCAGAGAAGAAAGTGATGACTGGAGTTTATTTCACACAATGAGGATTTTTGCTTTGTTTGCAGAGACTCCTTTTTGTGCACCGCTTTGGAAAATGAGCCAGGATTTATTGTTGCTTAAGTATTGCATGCAGAGGCACTAATGTTCTGTGATCTTTCTGGACAGCAGAAATATGATTACTTGCATAAACACCACGCACATTTAGTGGTGTACAAGTGATACCACTAACACTACACTAGTTCTGCAAAGTCTAAGCACAAGTGTAAGACATAATGTGCATTAACAACAACACAGAATCCTGCAGGATCTCTGTGCTGTTGTACTAGGGCTGCAAACGGCCAAGTGCAATATCCAAATCGCAGGAGCAAAAATTATTTTTGATAAAGGTAAAATGTGTCACAACATTGCAGCATATGGTGCTACAGAGATGCGCCTGTCTACAAATCATAATCCAGATCTAAGAGAACACGCTTGTTTGGTAAAGTTTTTTTTATTGAAAATGAAATGCAAAAAATGTCAGCCTTCGCTAAAATCATATCACAATATCTGTGAAAATTTATTTACTTATTTATTTAATTTTTTTACATGTTTTGCAGCCCTGCTGTGTAACAAGTTCGGCATAAAAATATCCAATTTAAACAGAAAAAAATATATATATATTAAAAAATAAATACAAATAAAAATAAAGATACAAAAACAGGAAGACAATGAACATGGATGCACCACATGATAAACACACCACTGACCATCTTGTGTCCTGACCGGAGGGCCATTTGGAAGGTGGGGGTGGGAAAACTGGGGGAGGGGAAAGAAGGATAGGGGACTGCTGCCAAGAGAGAGGAGGGAACAGAAGATAAAGAGAGAAGGATGGAGGAGTCATTAAGATGAAGGGAAGCTAATGCAACCAAAAGAAACAGATTCTAATAATGAAGAA